CGTCCGCCCACCCAGGCTCCGCAGGCCACGCCATCTGGCCGTCGGTTCTGCATGCCCCAGCCTCACAAGGCAGACGCCACTAGGAAGGGGAACGTGCTGACGTGAGCGGGCCGTGCGGCCTTGGCATTCCCACGTGAGAGCACAAGTAAAAAACAGGCCGTGCCCAGACGTGCCCCAGCCAGCGTGTCCTGCAATGACGCTGATGAACAAAAGGCACCACTGTTAGCTACTTTTCTATCTTAGAGCAGTATTTTTCTGAGCCCTGTGACAACAAAGACGTGATCCTAATTCAAGCGCATGAACCTGACTCAGAGTGTCTGATCAACATTCTGACGAGGGCTCATTTCTGTGTTCTCCATGTTCGGGGAGTAACCTGAAGTCAGCTAACCTCAGATGTCTGTCTGGCTTACACCTTCCGCTTCAGGGCCAATATTCATGCTGCTCTTAGACTCAGCCTCCACCACCTCTCTTGGGAGGGCATCTACCATTATGGACACTTCAGCATCAGGAGAATCCCAGGCCCAAGTCCTCTCTGTCCCAATGTGCCGACTCCCCCGGCTTGGTCCTCGGGCACAGGACTGAGTACAGCCGGTCCGACACCCTTCACGTCCCGACCTTCCCAGCGGCTCTCTGGTTCTCTGAGCTCCCTCCCCTTACACCCATGAGGCTGAAGGCAGATGTGAGATTTTACATCCTGGTCAATGGAGACTTCAGCTCAGAATGCCTTGTACCGGATTCTGAACAACTTTTTTGGAAGGCAGAACGGGAGAAAAAGAATTGGTCATGTGAAAAATGAAAACTAAAGATAACGTGCTACAGTCAACGAACACTGTGACAGGGCTGAGTAAACCGGGCCTGGATGGCGATAAACCGCCACTAGCGAGCACCCAGGCAGAGCCCCCGGGCCTGCGACCCTCGGGTCTGCACCGAACGTACCGCCGGCAGGCTGCACCGTCACTTCATACATGTAGTAGCCGTGGAGCGCCGTCTTCTCCTGCGTGTACATCCTTAGAGCCTGAAAATGGAAGTCACCCAGAACACCTACAAGAACGGAGTGGAGAAGCATCTCTGCCACACCGGCCCTGGGAAACGGGTCAGGGCTACTGTCAAGGTGTGAGGGTCTCAGCATCCGACAGAGGGCCTGACCTGGAGTCCGGAATCATGCTTCACCTCAACTGGACTCGGGGTCCTGGAGAAGAAACTGCTACCGAGATGCACTGGTCCCTGTAGCCCTCATAGGTGAAGGGCTCATCACACGCACGTTTCTCTAAAGCCTCATAGTTCAGATCGAAGTCATAGGTTAAACAGCTTTTAGAGAAAACAATGTTACTTATTCCTTCACATCTGATCTCTGTACCTTCTTTACAAAGAACGGCTCAGGGAAAATCACTTTTCGCGAGGAAGCGTGGCCTATCTGATTTTTTTCCCAAGGAAAACCACCTGGCCACACGTCAATCACAACAGGACTCTTTCTGTTTACTCCTTTTTTCAGAAAACTATAAGACCTATAAAGCGTGTCTGAGATGCCTGCCTCGGGCTCAGGAGGCCAGCCTGCTTTGCTGCCCCCACTCCTGTACCTGAGACCAAAGCCGGAGGTGGCAGGAGAGCTGGCCCACTCCTCACCTGGCCGCCCTAACGGGACGTCACCCGACACTGCCCTGCTGAAGCAAGACACATCGGACTTTGCTAAGAGCTGAAATGAGACACAAAGGTCGTCACGAGTCGTTCACTGGGAGCCTGTCTGACGCACGTTCTCACATCTACAGCACCAGTAAGTGGGGCGAAGGTCGCAGAAGGACCCCGCGTCCCCCGCCCACGCAAGCATTCCCACGTGGCCTTCGTCATTCCCGTCAGTGACAGAGCTCCCTCACACAAACGTGCGCGACCTCTCTGCCCGAAAGCCACCTTCCTGAAGTTGGGCCGCCCCACAGGGGATGAGGCGCTCTGGCCCGAGGCCTGGCGCGTACCAGGCACATGGGCCGGGAGCCCTCCTGTAGCCCGAGGCGGGCGTCGCCCCCTGGTCTCCCCGTGGTCTCTGCAGACAGAGCTGCTCCGTCTCCGCCTCTTGAAGAGATGGAGGAGTGTTCGGTCTCCTAAACTGGCCTCTCCAGGTAATGGCGGGGTGCACACAAGATGTGTGTCCCCCTCAGTGAGCCAAAGACAAAAGGTCGGCAGCTGCAGAGTGGACCCCAACATCCCAAGTTGCCCAGCACGCCACACACTCTAGACGACCAGCGGGTGTTCTCATCTGTGGCTGTGCCTGAGGCACGTGTGGGCACCGAGCGCCGGGCCTGAGGACCCGGGATGCAGCGGGTGAGACAGTCCCCCAGAGGACCGTTCTCTGGACCACGGGTGCTGTCGGCCCAGCTCTGCGAGCGCCGCCCCTTCCAGACCAGAGCCAACGGTCAGCACTGCGGCCAGCGCCCACCACCACGGCACGCGTCAGAAGAGGCCAGTTTCTGGACCAAGAGGCTCAGCACAGTGCCTGCCGTGAGGTGTGGGGCCCGTCAGCAGGCTGCCTGGACCCGGCTGTGGAACGGGAATCGGCCTGCGAGCCCCGGCTCCCGCCCTGCCTGCCGCCTAGCACCGGCGGCAGAGGAAGCTCGCTGGCTGCGCACGGCGAAGCGAAGAACCTCGCGGTGGCGTGCAGGCGCACACTCACTAGAGTCCTCGGGGAGGACGCCAGGTCTAACACACCCACGCTGCTCTGACACCGAGTCACATGACAGGACACACAGCGACAGGACAAGGCGGCACCACAGCCTTCCTGTGAGTCACGGAGACCCCAAGTACGTGCCGGCCAGACAACGAACTTACCGAAGAAGTCGAATGAGAACGGGTCCCTTCCGCCGAAAAAGTCCCTGAAGACGTCATCTGGGTTCCGGAACGTGAAGCCGAACTCAAAGGGACCGTCAAAATGACTGCCACCTACACGAGGACAACACAGCTTTTAGCTCAGGCACTGTTGAGTATGGAACTATTATCTAGAGAACGTTCTATAAATCATGACCTTAAACAAGAAAACATTTCATAAACCTAAGGTTCTGAGGTTTGAAACACAAGCCGCGCTCTGAACGGACTGACCGCGCCTGGCGCGGGTCGTGGTGCTGCAGCGCCTCACGGCGGCCTCGTCACACCCGCAACGCCTCTGACCGTGCCGCCGCCGCTCACGTCAACCCACCTGCATTTGTTATGCAGCTTCATGGGAACCAAGCCTGTCGACAGCTACTCGCACGCCCGTCTGTGGCTGTGGTGGAGCACCACCCCCCGGTGCCAACTGTGACGCTGGCAGGACAGCGGCCCGTGACAGCGGCCACTCATCACACACACATTTAGGCCTCACCACCAGACAGAGTTACTGTAGGTTTGCAGGAGAATCTGATTTTTAAACCTTAAGGATATTTTGACGTAATGTCAAGTACTGATCTGGGTGTGCACACTCCCAATACGTTACTGAAAGGTTGAAAATTATTTCACATCTACAAAAAGTACATCAACTTAAAGTTTCCAGCCTATCGAAAGATTTTTACTAGGCCTTTTTAATGCTATCAATCTCTCCTTCCGCTCCCCAATTCAGCCCATTTTCAAGGCTGCATCTGTATTTACAGAAACATGACTCTGTCCAAGACAGCCAGGCAACTCAAGCCCCGTCAAGGCCTGTCACCAGACTGCCTCCCCATCGCTACCAGGCAGAGAGAGAATCAACGTTTACATACCTCCACCTCCACCGTTTAATCCTTCTTTGCCGTACTTGTCATAGATGTCCCGTTTTTTAGCTATAAATTTTAAAAGAAAAGTCAATAAGGACCAAGTTCCTGTTCCCTCAATACTCAACGACATATCTCCAGAGCTGTAAACAGGTGACCGACACAGTTGTTCCCAGTTTTAACGAGTCAGGCCTCAAACGAAAAGACAGAAGAGGGACAATCTAAACGCATCTCTCCTCAAGAACAGCTCAGAACAAGTTTAGTACCACGAAGCTTAAAAGGTGACTGTGACCGTTACCCACGTCACCCAACTGCCCCCAGAGCCCACGCGCGTCACGCGAGAATGGCATCATGAGCAGACCTCACTGCGCACTTCCCACCCTCGTGAAGGTGCAAAGTGCGTGTTCTAAGTGCCGTAAACAGCTGACACAGACCCCGCCAGCTCGATGCCCCTGCCAGGCACAGCCCAAGGCTCCGTGAGGTGCTCCTGCCCTTTGTCCTCTTACTGGCTGGGTTCTAGAACAAAGAGTTAAAACGCAGCCTGTTTGGACAGGTAGGTTCTCCTGACACAGTATCACCTGTTCTGCCCAAATCTCACGTCCTACCAAACTGCGCTGTCAAGTGACGGCGGAAACAGGCATAAAAGCGAATCAGATGCAGCCAGCTTGGTGGCCAGAGCCCCGTAAGAGCAGCACCTGCACCTGTGAAGAACACACTCACCCCCCACAAAGAACCCGAGAAAACCCCGCAGTCTCTCAAATTTAGCAGGGGCGGGGGGCGAGTTTAAAAGTTCTTTTTCTGCCCAACTTAAAGTCTGGGTTCAGTACTTGGTTTCTGTAATGCTCCGGCCTATGAAACCCATACACCTGGGGGTGCCAGGTGAGCGACACACAGCAGGACGGGGCTCCTGGGGTCTGGCGTCAGTCCAGGCCCATGACCCAGCGGGTGAAGCCTTTAAACGCTTCATTTTAATAAGATAGTAGGTGTCGCTGTTTACGTGCTTTCTCTCATTAGTGACAAAAGTTAACCTGTGAAATAAGGAGTCTGAGCCACCTCTGACACAGAGGACAGGAGGTGTTAGTGTGGTCACGTGATGAACTGCTGACACGAGTGATGGGTAAACAGAGTTCGTTCCAAAATCAAAACTGTCTTTGGAGAATGGCCCTGACCACATGTGGATACACGTGAAGCAGGCGTCCGCTCCCTGTGGGAGGTGAGTCAGCTTCCAACCTTTTAAAATCCTCCGTCCTGACTCACGCCGGGTCGTCGGCTCTGCTT